TAGCAATAATGTTCAATTTATATAACACGTACTTTTTACTTTCATGTTGTAATTGAACTCATCGGTAAATGATTCATTAAACTTTAAATGAGTACATGCTTTTATGAATGAACTAATTATATCGGCATATTTTTCTTTAAACAAATCTGTATATATTCATTTTATAGTTCATATACTTAAGGCTACAAAGCAGTTCATCAATCTTATAGAAGATTTTCAACTTGAAGCTTTATTTTATACTATATTTTCTGACAAACTACATACATCACTCAATAGTTCAATTTTCTAATTTAATATTTTTCATGTATCTTATGATACATGAGATAATTGAATTTTTAAAGAAAACTATTCAACGTAAATAATAAAATGTGTTCAAAAAGTCAATCTTCGATCAATTTAGCCTTGGGTTTATATATTTATCTCAACACATCATAAATGTATAACTTACCAGAATTCATATTGATTGTAGACTATTCAATTTTTATATTTTACATAATTATGTGACGGAAAGTATCGAGAAAGGGAAATATATGAACATCTATAATCAGGCATTTTTTTGCTATTTCTTTCTCTTCTTCTGTCTATTAGACGTATTTATATGTCAATAAATGTCGTATACAGAAGGATATTTTGTGTATATAGTACACACCATCCTACTTTATATACATATAAAAAAAAAACTTTTTTAAAGGTCATATGAAATGACAAGAACAAAAATCAACGCGTACACCTATTATATGCATTATAAAGAATAAAATATTACACGTAAATAGAGAATTCTGGTTATATGCAATCAGACGATCAGCAGTTTGGATTAGATCTTAGAAGTTGCTAATAACTAGTCTTCATTAGTCAATGTTGAAATTAATTAAACATCCTCTCGTTCCTTATATAAGACTCGTTCGTTCAGTTAATCATGAACTAGTTGCTGTCTACATGAAAGACTTCTTGTTAATGGTCAAACTAACACACAAAACTTCTCAGAAGTATACCTCTTAGAATCTTTTCTAACCTAATTCATGTACTTTTAATAAAATACTATTCAAGATTAATTAGAAAATGATGTCTACTAAACTTCAACCAATCTTGTAGTTACTTTATGTGGTTGTTTAATGCTATTCTTCAATGGTGCTGGAGAACTATGATTCGCTACTAGCGAGGTTTGAGAAAGATTTGTTAAATTTTTATTTTTTCAAATTCATTTTCAGTGCATATTAGCTAATGTAGTTTTTTCTGCGCTGATGAGGAGTATTAGCTTTATAACAAATACAAACTCAAAAACAAACAGAAAAAACAATCAACAGAAATCAATTCTCCATCACCGTTTACTTTTAAAAAAAAAGTGAAAAATATATCACACAGTGATACATTAGCCAAAGCTGACTAGTATGTGGAAAAATATTAAACTCAATTGATCGTCATGACAAACTACTAACATTGTTTCTTTTTGTTGTCGTATTTCTTACAATTCATTTATTCCTTTATTGTACATATAATCTATACAGTATGTTAATGTTTGTCAGACAACAATCTTTGATAATACAGACCTATTCATTTTATACATTCATGCACGTCTTCTGTTTGCATAACGTGATGTGATTTACTGATATTATTTGAGTTAGAAAAACCCTATGCCGATGTGTACATGCCACTAGTGAAAACAAGAAAACATTTTCTACTTCATACATATGAAAATGTAATAAAATAGTTCTTGAATATTGAACAAATTATTCAATTTCTTTTAGAACAAGTGAGCCCTTACTAATGAATGACTAAAATAGAGCAAGTGAGAAACATCACATGCATGGTTAGAAGTAAGAAAATAATTTGATGTGTATGGAAAAAAATTATCTCAAGCTTTCATAATACATGTTTATTAGATATTATTGTATGGACTAATGGAACAATACGAGTGATAGTCTGTTAATTGATGAGACACGTTTATAATTAATACCTATTAGCCTTCATCCTATAGATATGACAAGATGATCATTCAGTCAATGTCATGTCGAAAATAAGATCGCATTTAGTTAGAGTATTTCTCCATTGTCTATATCTCTCCTATAGACCTTATGTTTCTGTAGATCTCTTCCACAAACGTATTTTGTGTTACTGCTCTCTCTCGAATGTGTTATGGTTCCAATAAAACGACGAAGGAAAACAATTGATAGTTTATCAATTAAAGCATTTTTCAATCATCGTCGTAGTGAAAACGTCAGATTTCACCACATATGTGAATAAAACAGTGTCGATGATACATTTTAAGAAATGTGAAATTAACGTCTAGAATGGAATAAGAACAATTCAATACAATACTTTTTATGGTGTAAAAACAGAACGCTAGAGATTTTACCAAAAACTTCTGTCAATCGCAAAACTATAAGTTTAGATTTATGGGTTAACTTTTAAAACAATGCTATTTTTGTCGTGTATACGTTTAAGTAGTGTAGAAAATAAGAGAAAGCCGATTTTTTCTACCGTATATCAACTTGAAAAGATTTGTTTACTTACGAGTAAATATGTCATTGTATGTGTGTGTTTTTATCAGATCTCACTATATGTAATGAACGTGTTTTTGTTCAAGCAATAGAGCTCTCATTTTCTACATATGATGATGGTGATGATATTGTTAAGAACTGTCTATCGGTTCGATAAGTAGGGAGAATTAATCAAATAAAAATAGTTCTTCAGATGATAACAATAGTATATTCTATCGGTTTTTATAGTGAGTCTCTATTGTTTTTTCTCTCTTTTGTTCATAGGCATATATCTACTTTGAATTACTAATCACAAATATCAAGTACTTTAAACACATTTAGATCGAGAGAGTCGTACAGTTTCTACTATTATTAGATGTTGAGTTATATCTTAACCAATGAAATAGAAATCATAATCAAAAACGTTTGAAAAAAGAATTGTAATCAATGTTTTTTTAAATTTTTTCATACAATTCTTGATGTACACTAAATTATAGTGCTTTATTCATTAAATACTTTTCGCTAGCTTAATTGTTGAATCTCATCATTGCATCTTAGCCAATCTCAATTCTTTTTTAAGTTATGGGCTTCTGAAGCAGTTAAAGACAAATTGTATGACTTTTACCTTTCAGCAGAAATCCAAATGTTGGGATATTGAGAATCACAGTTATATTTCACAAATCTCAAGTAAACGTAAAAAAAAAATTAATGTGAAATAAAACGACTGTGCAATTTGGATCACTTTTGTTGAAAACAAATGTTAATTTATAATTATTAACCATAAAGATATAATGTGTCAAAATAGTTGTTGTTTGTGCACTACTTATCCCGTATGTGTGTCTTTAATGGAATATAGTTCGTGATATTATTTCTTTTTATGTTTTAAATCTTTAAATGTCTCTTTAACTTTTCATTCAATGTGTCAGATGATACTCTTGGCCATATGGACAGTGAGGCATAATGAAAACTTTTAACTGTTATGTTATTCTTCTTTTCTCCTTTTCTAATGACTAATCAATGTAATAATATTTCAATTTTTCAAATAAAATTGTAAAATAATCAATCATAAAAAAAAATGACAAATGTAACAAACGTTTACTTCGAAATTGGCAATATTTCAAGATGATTATCTGGCGGCTACTGTTTGGTGTTGTTCATATCAACATGATGGACATAGAAGAAGAAGTAAATGTGTACATGTTTGTGTCATATGAAAACGATAACTATTTCAGAGAACACAGAAAAAAACGAAATATGTGTTTACACTATCAAACCAACACATGTGAATGATAATTCTAGAAAACAATTGCTTATTTTGTAGATAGAAACAATATTCGGACTCAAGTCTAAAAGCGCAGAATAGATCTTCTGAGAATTTTTAGCATATTGCAGAGACGTATGCACAAAATACTCGTTATCTTAACCCTTTCTTGTCTTTGGCTAAACCTGACGGTTCTGAAGGACAATAGAGGTGTGCAGGATGACCCTACACTACCCTGTTCTATTAGGGTAGGGTAGGGCACAGGTTGAGACGTTTGTCATAGACTACACCCTATGAGATAAAGAACGCTTAGTATTGCGAGACATTCGCTAGTTCAAGTGAACTAAATTTTTATAAAATAGCCCCTATGGGGGCCATAGGGCAAGAAAGGGTTAAATTAGAAAAAAAATAGTTAAAAATATAGTACACCGTGTTGGTATTATATTACTCAACTATTAACGTTTATTATTTTATAACATAGAAGTATCAGAAAACGTATATAACAAAGCCATATATACAGAAAAAATTTTCGAGAAAATTGAGATCTAAAATTCTAACATGGCTGTGAAATGTTAAAAATACCCCAAAAAGGGATAATGAAGAAAAAAAATTTGAAAAATGACTCCATAGCCTCCTATTTCAAGATCCGTTTGTAAATGGAGAGAGTATCAATAATCATATTTTTTTGTACTATATTCGTAGAAGAAGAATAGGGTTTGGAGCTTCTTGAGCCCGGATTAGTGTGTAATACTATTTCAGCATTCGTTCTTCATCATAGAACTTTCTCAACCAGATATTTACAAAGCGGAAAGAATATTTTAAAATAACTTCGAAATATTTGTGAGTTTAAACGCCATTTTCCAAAACATTTTTCTTCGTCGCTGCTGTTCTTAGCGAGAGTATGTGTGCTAAAGCTCCCCCGTCATCAAAATTTCCAGCGATGAAGTTAATAAGTCTTTTCATATTTTTAAATGGTAGGTGAGAGCAGCGACCGCGAAAGTGAGGGGAGGAGGTATACATCCCTCCAATAAATGAGAACTTTGAAATTTTTAGCTAAGAAAATTAGGTAATAGTATTTGTTGTTTTTACGTTCTAACGTTCAGGAGAAAAAAGATACGAAGAGAAAAGGAAAGCGAAAACAGACAGACACAAATACGTTATTTGCTTACGCTTCTACAATGATTGTAAGTTGAAAAATTTTTAGAACATTTACACCACTCCCCCAATCCTAGACTCTTCGCGCAGCCACTGGATGAGAGTATCTAGTGATTTGGTGAAACCTCTGTTGTAGAGTTGATGTTAGCGCCTTCGATTGTTTTTGAACGAAATTTCGTTCTTGTACGATTCTGATTGATATCTGACTCTGATGACATCAATAGTTGAAGAGACCATCTTAATGCTGGCGGATCAAAATAAGGAACCGGTTTATATTTTGGTTTACCAGCAGGCATCCATTTCGGTTCAGGATCTCGAATTGGTCTAAAATTTGGTTCTGAACGAAGAATGGGTGGTGGGTCATAGCGAATTTTTTTCGATGATGGCATCCACACTAATTCTTTTTGAACTGGCTTCGGGCGTCTTTCCGAACCGATTGATGATGGTTGTATATATTTAGGTTGTCCAGGTGGCATCCACAGTAATTCTTTTTCAACTGTCTTCGGGCGTCTTTCCGAACCGATTGATGATGGTCGTATATATTTAGGTTGTCCAGGTGGCATCCATGGCTTAACTTCGATTAGTTGTGGTGGGGTCCTGCTCCTAGGCGGCATATAACCGGTGAATTTTGACGGACGAAATCTACCTGACGGTTTCCACGTATCTTCAACAACATTTAGGATACCCGTAGAAGCCCTCACAAACTGGCTCAGCGATAAAGGGGGTGCACTTTGAACGCGGAACTTATATTTGACTTCTTCTGTTTTTTTTCTATTACTGTCCGGTGCAGTTGTGGTTAAAGGTATCCCAGTACCATTGTTTTGTATTGAACGCATCACCATACCTCAGCATCTAAGAAAGGAAGTTGTCGATTTGTATGCATAATTCATCTAGGTCTCTAGTGAATACTGAGCATTTTGTCCATAGAACAAAATGTGCTGAGTTTCTAGCACTTCTAGTATAGAGACATCTTGTGAATATGTCTCCCTCTTCCCGCGCATTCTATCGGATGGTTTGTCATTAGTACTCTCTTCATCTGTTTCGCACGTTTGAATGCTTACCAAAATAAAACCTTTGAAATTAATATTTAATCAAACATATCATCATTAGCTTATTATATCAATTTCTATTATTTCACTTTATGCGGTGGAGTTCATTTTGAAGTCACACATTTCTTGTTTTGTTTTGTTTTCGTAACGTTAACTTTAATTCTTTTAATTTTTGCACTTTCAAAAAATATTTTTCTCTTTTCTTTTACAAAAATTGATATTTTTGAGATAAAAAAACTCCTGCTGCTCTATATTTCATAAAAACCAATATGTTTCCTTTTTGCTGACGGTACAGAAAACGTTGCTGCTGTATAAAAAATGTTGTACCCATTACTGCAATATTTTTTGGATAGATTTCAATTAATAGGATTGACATGACAACAGGTAGAAATTCGACAAGGTGACATATTATGTGTTTTTTATAGTAACCCGTTTCTCAAAATCTGACATGTATTTGTTATAAAATATTTGATCAATTTTCAATCGGCTGTAAGTTGAACGTATTTTTTATCAATATGGCGGTTTGCTTTTGAAACATGAGACACATTTTTGTTTTCAGAGGCAGTATTTGTTGAGACTTTTGAGACACTAGATGGTGTTAATGACGGTTGTAAATGTGAATAACTGGCATTTGTTAATGCGGATGTGGTTGTTGGTCGTAGAATTGATCGAGGTACATCGTTTTGTACTGTTTGATACGGACCATTAGCACTAACATTCGATAAAACTGGGTTCGACAGATTCGGTAAAGATATTCGTTGATTATTAGCTGATGTTGGATAAGATGGAAGATTTGAGATACCGTAGGTACTGTTAGACTGGGGAGAGGAACTGCTGGGCAATGTTAGATAATTAGAGGAAGAGCCACCTAATGGCGCAGGCGATGAGTTGTAGCGGCTTGTAGATGGTGGATTATAGGGAGTTATAGATGGTGGATTATAGGGACTTGCAGATGGTGGATTATAGGGAGTTATAGATGGTGGATTATAGGGAGTTGCAGATGATGGATTAGATGAAGTTGTAGATTGTAGATTATAGCGACCTACAGATGGTGGATTATAGGGGCTTGTAGATGGTGGATTATAGGGAGTTGCAGATGATGGATTAGGTGAAGTTGTAGATTGTAGATTATAGCGACTTACAGATGGTGGATTATAGGGGCTTGTAGATGGTGGATTATAGGGAGTTGCAGATAGTGGACTAGAGGGAATTGTAGATTGTGGGTTATAGAGAGTTGCAGATAGTGGACTAGAGGGGATCGTAGATTGTGGGTTATAGGGAGTTGCAGATAGTGGACTAGAGGGGATCGTAGATCGTGGATTATAGGGAGTTGCAGATAGTGGACTAGAGGGGATTGTAGATTGTGGGTTATAGGGAGTTGCAGATGGTGCAAATTGCGACAGAGGGTTAAGATTAGAAGAGCTGTTAGTGAAGGACAAGGGAAGATTTTGAGAAAGAGATGGATATGAATTCACATTCAACGGAACTAGTGAAGGTTGTTGTGCTGGTGCTAGAGGTCCAATTCTTTGAAATAATTGCTGTGCTTGTCGAAGAAACTGTTGAAGTTCTGCATTACTCACTGGTAGATTCTGACTGGGTACGATTAGTGCGTCAGTATTCCCATAATTCAACAAGGGTTGAGGATTAATTTCCTGAGCTGGAATGACATTCATCTGAGGAATGTTTAAGGTTGGCGTTTGGTGAGGTAGAATAGATAAAGTACCATCTGGACCTGCTTGTAGAATAGATAAAGTACCATCTGGACCTATATATTCAACTGGTAACGTAACAGTATCTAAATCAGCTTCGTCTGTTGGTGGTAAATTTTGAGAAGGTAAATTTTCTGCACCCAGATGTATTGGTTGAAGATGTACGACACGTTTGGGTAGATTTTCGATCATGGCAGCGGTTAATCCAGGTTGCTGTGGTGACGGTGACGATAGCGGTGCTGGTGACGAAGATGACGGTACATGAACTGTGATCGGATTCGTGACTAAAACTTGTGGCTCTGTGACATACTCATAACGTCGTGGCTCTGTGACATACTCATAACGTCGGCGACTTCTAACACGTTCAATTTCAAGAATTCTTCTAGGAGGGCGTAAAAACAATGTGGGTCGCGAAGGAAATGGTATGGTTATGATAGACTTTTCTCTAAAACGATGACGTCTGCGAGGTGGTAGCTCTATCTCAATTGATGAATTACTTGAAGGAGCTCGTCTGGCAGGAAGAGTTGAACGTCGTGGAGGTGGTGGCGGTAAAAATGCTGTTGGTTGAGCCCGAGGTAGTATTTGTGTAGGCCTTGGCAGACCGGAGAAAGGTTGGTATTCCCCTGGCATCGTTGTTTGGCCGGTAGGCGGCCTCGGTATAATATTTGACATCATTATAGAGATGATTTATAACTGAAGTTTCAATAATAAAATCTGCAAAATATTCTGTTCTGGCGACACTTTACATCATGGGACGATGACTGTTTAATAACAGCATCTGTCTTCCATTGCAACGCGAGTGAATGTCATAAATACGCTTCAATAATCACTCGTTTATCTTACAATCTTTGCAATTGAAACGTGACAAGGTAAAATTATGCATACACACGAAAATAATGTTTGTGTTTGTTACAATTGACGCATAGTTTTCAAGCCTTGATAAGCATGCCAATAACAAAACAATGACTAGAGGCCAACTATATACTCTATGCAAAATGTATAAACTGGCAACAATTAGGCGCCTATTAATTATTTCATGGAAAAAATAGAGGTAGTCTTAGAAAATATGCTCATCTAGTAAGAGTAAATTGTGTTTTGTTCGTCTTTCTCTGTCAGTCAATGATGAGAAGGTGAACGGTCGCAAACTCAAAGCAGATACTAGACCTCTCAAGAGCAATCGTAACCCCCCTTAAAAAATCCTGGATCCTCCACTTCCTGTTGTCATAGGTGGAAGCACAGATCCGATCAGGTCTAAATTCCTATCATAGATATTTCAAACTGTATATCAGGCTTTCATTCTTCTTTTCGAAGAACATGCTTTCCTTCTTGCAATATTAGAAAAATGCTGACAATTCTACGTAAACTTTCTCCGTGCTGTTTGTTCAAAAAGTCAACGTAGATTTATTTCTTTATTTATTATCGGATAAAACTGGAATTTATTCAATGGAATTTATCAGATTTTCTCTTATCGCTTGAACTCTGGAGAGCACTTTTAGATGTGAGAACGAACTACGTCTTTGCTCCTACATTGTAAAAAGTTCTTGCTAAATCCATAGTTGTAACAACTAAGTAAATGATGATCATTATGATGAGCTAACACGTTAGCAAGTTGTAGTAGTTCTGATCATCAAAGATGACAATCGCAACATAAACTTTGTAGAACATCATCAACGAGATGAAATACATGATCGGCAACTAGTGTCAGTACATTGGTTATTAGTGAAAATAGTTGATATTGCTAGTAAATAACTATTTTCAGTACAAAATAGATTATAATCGTATGATGTTAACAACTGTTGGTGACACAAACTGTTGAATAATACTATTTTCCATCCACATTGTTGAATTAAAAACATTTATTTTCCAAATTAAAACCACCAGATGTTTTTCAACAGTCTTACCACTTAGTCATCACTATTTATAAAAGAAGTAGGACGCTCAAGTACAGATAATAGCTGTGGTTAAGAACAACATGTACGTTTTATGATATGAAATTTTAGCTTTTTTCAATTGGATACAAGGAAAAAAATCCACTATTTCTTTCCATAACAATTGATTACAGCGAAATGTTCCTACAAAACCAAAACAACTTTTATATTAAACAAGTAAATAAACAGTCAATAGAAACAAAGAAAACGAATGATAAAAACATAAATTAAAACAAGACAACCCAAGTTCACGCACTTTTCACTTCGAAAAAAAACAACGAACTTGTATCTCATATGAGCGTGTTTTTTTTTAATTTGACCTGTTTGCTTTGCATAAAAACATCTGGAATAATTCGAAAACCGCTCGCTATTAATTAATAATTACTTTTTTCAAGGAAATCTTCGAAACAGATTTGGACAAATTCCTCTAATTTCGTTGGAGTCCTTTTCACAATAAAGAAATTTAATCTTTGTTTGGGATAGCAAAAAAAATCTAAAGGCTATTTGTAATTCCACTGTAAGTCACTGACAGGTTCCAATAAAGCGTTTAGAAACACATGTGTATTTTATTTTTCTTATTAACATAAGAATAAAAACAACAGGAATAACAGGAAAAAATAAAGTAAAACATTGTTTTATTAGCCTTCATTTGCATCATCATCGTCTTCATCTTCATCATCCAGTTGCTGAAAAAAGAAAAATATGTATGTGAAATATAAAGTGACTAGTTTTAATAAATATGATAGAATAAGAGTGAATCTCAAGTCACCTTGACTGGTCCTCGACCAATTTGTAATTTTTGTTTCTCCTGCTGTAATAAATAGAGTCCTCGTCCTATTCCATTATAAGAGCCGGGTGGATAAAACGGCAACATTCGATCAAAATGATGACATTCGAGATATGATAACCATTTAAACATACTGATGATTTAGTCAAGGATATAATATATATATGTGAAAAATTCGAATGAGGGTCACTCGACATACATACCTCATACAATGATGCATAATCGAGCATTTTTTGTACAAATGGTATGTGACGTAATTGCCCCATCAAAGTGGGTATCACATAGGTCAATACTGAATAGAATGGATGTGCTTTATCATACGTAGATAACATAGGACCAAAAAATAGCCAAGAAAACATACTGAGAATTTTAAGGTTAAATTTAATTTAGAAAATTTAGACAAATAAAAAAGAAAATAGGTCGGAATAGTTTTCTTACCGACGGTGAATCAGCACCCATTTTTCTCCTAACTTTTTGAAATATAATTTGATATGGATATGTTAAACGCCAATCACCATCGGTCAATATAGAAAACGAATGAACAATTAACCTTTCCAAATATACTAGCATACTAGTCGAACAAAAATAGTTTACTTATTTAAAGAAAATAGGATATATGATGTTGTAAAGGAGTCTATATAATGTGTCATTCTATTAGTGTTGAAAAAATTAGTTTTAGACTTATTTATTGTTGTTATCGAAACATTTCAAGATGATTAAACGTATATCACATAATAATTGTAATTAAAATTCAGTTTCATACTTTAGTATGCTCTTTCCTAAGCATTGTATAATATCTCAGTCGAAGATAACTGTTTTCTGTTAATGAACATTTTACTGAAAAAGGATACGATTTATCTGTAATCTCTTTTTTTACAATATATGGTATAATATATTCTTCTTTGAACTTGGTAAATGTCTCCTACAAGAATCAAAATTCAATTATTAACTTTAAATAGAACTCTTATTGGTTGTACAATCTACCTCAGATTCTTTCCATGTAAGTAGTTCATGATGGCCATCATTTCCAAATTTTTTATCATATCGATCATAATGAAGCTTAAAATAAATGTAAAAAATATTTTTAATATCAGTAAATACGTGTATTCGATATATGCATACTCTGTCAAGTACAAGACCCTAGAAATAGACAAATTTTATAATATAGACACAAAACTTTTTTTAGACTTTAAATTAACTTACAAGTGGAGGTGCTTTTGGTATATCAATCTAAATATGTGAATAGAAGAAAATTTTATAAAAAAATTATTTTATGTTTTGTTTTCCTTCTAGTTCTCACCTTGTCTGCACCATAAGCTAATTGAATTGTATCACGACTAGCTACACCACGAACAATTGCAATAACAAGGCCTTTAGTAAGAAACATAATCAATACTCTATCTCTCTCTTCAATTGTTACAAATAATTATCATTTTCCAATACTTACTGACCATCTTTCGAATTTGATGTATCATAAAACTTTGACCTTTGATTGTAATTGTTGTAAATTCAATATTATCACGCATATAGGGATCAGTCAGCTGCAATAAAAATTAATAGAAATAACTGGATAAAAGATTTGATAAAAAAATATTTTGTATTACTGTAACTGAATGTATATATCGTTTTGATGATGGATCTGTGAATTTCTTTCCCGATGTAAAATTATGAAAATTATGTGTACCAACATATTCTCGTATAACATCTCTCACTATCTGTACTATTTCAGCTAAAAAAAAATTAATGACATCAGTATAAATAAAAAATAAAATAGATAATAAGATATAAACCACCTTTATCATAATGAAAATGTGATTTCAATTCAAACGTGATTTCGTTTGAATAAAGATAAAACATCTGTAACAGAAAATAGCTATATTTTGTGTAATTCATCCTCTGAATTACTCTGAAAGAGGAAGAACAAAGAGTGAAAGTTTGTACAGGGAGATTATGTTGAAAATCTGAAAATTTTATTCAGCGTTGATAAAAGCTAACGCGGACAAATTTGAGAAGTAAATGTATATTAATCGATGGCGTTCAATTATATGTCTTATGACATTGTTGAGTAAGTAATGCATAATGCATAATTGGATCGTCTATTTTGTTTAAAAAAATCATTGGCGGATAAAGATAGCACACATCTTAATCCAATTAAAGCAAATTAATGTAAACGTACACACTCGATACATGGATTTCATACAGCCCCACCTTAGTCCTTCGCGTTTGAATGGAGGAGTTACACTTTAGACCCAAGGTCTGCGGTGATAAGCTTTTTCATTATGATAATGATGGTTTATATCGTATTATCTATGATGGAAATATAGTTTTTAGTAAAACTGATACTTTTTATAATTGAAATAATATGTCTCTAAGCGTTAGAAATATTACAGATGTGTTTTGAACAAAAAATTGATCTGTGAAGTATGAAATAGTTGACAATAAATCTCTTTAGACTTGTATATGTGTATTTCAGCCAGTTAGTTTGTTCTACATATCAGATTAGTTTAATAAAGTGTCGAAACAACCTTGATAGCGGCCTGTCGGTGTAACTCTATCAAAGAAGCGTGAGTCCGTTACGTTTTGTAAAATTCACAACTTCTCAAGCTAGAACCCCGCAGGCTACGACTTTTTGACAACCTATAACCTAACCTATAAAAATCTTCACAATCTAAATCTAGCCTAGGTTATAACCTATGCAATTTTTTCCTGAAAACTGGTTTTAGAAGCCTAAACTTCAGCTTTGTTCCAGATCGTTTTTGTTTCTTATCTAAACAGCGTCTGATAGAAAAGCTTATACAAAAAAAGTCACATTTAAATGAATCGGTTGAGTCTTTTATGTTTTAATATAACGTTTGGAAAATAGCTTTCTGAGTAGGGGGACCCTCTTAAGAGTAGACCAGAATTTCACTTTAGGCTCTCAACGCTACGAAAGCTCTATTATTGTTATGTGTTCGCCATCTATTTTTAGCAAATGTAAGTTTCTTTTTCTGTACTTCGTATTTTGATTGTGCCTCGCACGTTTGTGAACAACTTATTTTGCAGCCAGAACATTTTCCTTTAATATGACAATCAAGCAAATTCTATCATCTGACTCATCTAAAGACTATAACGGTTTTGGAAAAGACTACTTTCGAAGAAACAGTACTTTTTTCAGAAACATGATAACACTTCATTAAGCTAGATGATAGAGTTTGCTTAATTGTCATATTAAAGGAAAATGTTTCTTCCTAATGTGGAGGAAAGTCTGAGCTACAAGATGAGGACACTTCTAGCTTTCCACGATATTTTTTGAAGTTATGGATTTTTTTTTGAGGTTTTTTTCAAAAGCCTTTTTTTCTCTCATTTCCAGTATCTTGAAAATATTTTCTTATACGTAGTCTGATAAAGTGTTCTCTTTATAGTGTTCCAAAATTTTCTGATAGTCTTTGATGGAAAACTAAGCATCAACGCAAAATGCCACAAATGTCCCCATAAAGTACCCTTTTCTAATGATATTTATAATACTGAATTAACCACAAGCGATTTCAGTCCAGTTACATTATGATCCCTCAAAAAAATGATCCGATCGGGACTCGATTTCTATCGCAAATGTTTCAGATCCTATCTCAGGCTGTAAATTTTTTAAGCGTTTCAACGTCAACTTTGGGCATGAAACGCTTTTGAAATCAAAAGTCGGGTTTTTACATAGGATTTTCAATGCGTTTCGAATATTCGAGAAGAAAAGTGTATTGTTTGAAAAAAGATTAGAATCTGATATAGGATAGAATCTGAAGTATCTTTAGTAAAAATGTCGATTCGATCGACCATTCTTTTAAGGGATTATAATGTGACTGGATGAAAACTAGAGTCTTTGAGAGAAAAACCATGTCAGAAAATTCTGAGTAAAAATACATCGATTTTCTTCTTCGATGTTCTATCTTTGGTATAAATCTGGAGTCAATCGGATCTTTGCTTCGATCTTTGCCAACAAGGTCATAAAAGACAGTGGTATCCTTAAGTCTAGATAGAGACAATATGATAAATATTCATGATAAATTATAGTTAGACATAGATATGAGAATTAAGGTACAAGGCACATCAGCGAAACGATTAACGTTTCTAAAAAATTCCACGAATATACAAAAATCTTCCAGTTCATTGCGAAGGATTAGCAGTAGATCACAAAACTTACGTGTTGCACGATAGGATTCACGAGTTATCTACAATAAAAAAAAAACACAAAAATCTATCGTAGTTCTTTTACTTAGCAGATTAACTCCCACATACTTCTTCAATCGGACAAAAGGCAAATGTTGGAAGTATGTAAATATATGTTCGAGCATCACAATTATTTTTACTATTAAAACTGGCCGCTACTCGTTTGAAACCTAATATGCAAAAATGTTAATTCAAATTAACCAGTAAGACAATATAAAGAAATAGACATGTTACCGTATAAACGTATTTGTTTTGGTAAGTGTTCATTGACTTTTTCAGTCAAATTTTCTATTGGGGATAATTTTAACGAAAGTAAATTTGCCACAGCTGAAACACCTTTGTCTGTACGAGCAGCACGTTGAAATGCCATCTAAGAAAATTGATTGTCAAAAATTAGGTAATACACGCTTATTTGTTGAAATTCATTACTTTTGACATATCATCAGCATGCTCTTGAGGTATCGCTCCCACTTTAACAAAGGCATCAACAACTTCATCTTCTATTGTACGATGTTCACGATCTTTCGTGTTTCTAAAAGAAAGATTTCATAAAAATTTATGTTATTGAATTGTAGACATAAATGACTAACCGTTGTAAACCAAAATAGCCTGCTCCACAATAACCAAATAGAACTGCAACTTTACGTTTTTTCAATCGTTCAGTTCTTTTTGGTGTTTCTGATGAGGAAGTAGCTACTGGTGACACTGGAATCTGAAAGAAAACAAAAATAAATAGAATACGTTTAGAGTGACAATATGTGCCATACTTCTACACTCGTATCTTCTTTAAATTTCTTCTTCAATGGTTCGGTATTTCCATCATCGTCTGTTGTTGTCGTTATCGATTTTTCGCCACTCATCTCTTCGACAATCGTTGCTGAAGCGGCACTCTGATGATTCAAAGTAGAAGAAGCAACAGCTTTCATAATGGTTTGAGATGCACATCTTGACGGACTGAGCATTATTCTATTCTGATCTTGAAATATTCAGGGGTATAAAGCATTTTATCCACATAAACTAGTCAGCTAGGAGATTTTCTTATCTTTTGCTCGTTTTCTGGAACTGCATACTATACCTTGTTCATTTTCTGAGATTTTGTAAAGACACAAACTGCATCGTGATGGGTTTTTGTTATAATTCTCGACAGGTCATCAAATCAGATATTATGACACTCCAAATACAACACGAGAACATAATCGGCTGAACTATGTGTAACTCTCACAGCTTAGAGAGGCAGCAAAAAATTTGTTATTTCTACTATTGTGTTTAGTAATACGAAAAACAACAGAGTAGAGAAGTCCAAGCAGGTCAAAAGAAGTAAAAGAAGAAATACAAGAAAATATATGGATTTTTTCATAGAGACAACAAACTTCATCATAAAACACATATAAAACAAAATAAAAATATAACAATTATCACTGTTCTAACAGTTACCAATACTCTTTATTTTAACTGACACATTCAAATAGTCCGGTATCTAAATTTCTGGCCATCAGTTGATTCGGATCACAATTTGGAATCTTGTGATCGATAAATATACGTCTGACAGCGCAATCTTGCAAATATCTGACTGCAACTGGTGAAATTTTAACACATCCAGATATGTATATTTCTTCTAGATACGGCTGACTATTAGCCATAGCAAAAATGGATTTGTCAGTTAAACGAAAACAGCCAGATAAGATTAAACATCTAAATTTACAATTAGAAAGCAATTCACACAATGAATCATCGGTTATCTAAAAATAAAAGCAGAATACAATCATATAGTAGAAAAGTACATGATCAATGAATTACTTACTTGTTTACATCCTTTAATACTAAGATGAGATAATTTTTCACAATGTTTCAACAGACCAAGTACAGAATCGTCAATTTGTTGAATACCGGATAAATCAATATGTTCTAAATTTGGACAATTCTGAACCAATTTCCATATGACATTTGGATTGATCTAAACATCAGAAATTTTTTTATCCAACAGTGATAAATTAATTGTCAATAATCAACATACATTTCGAGCGGAACTAAGTAATACTGTTCTTAATTTTAATGAACGTGTTTTACTTGAAAACAAATCGTACAATGAATCTAATGTTGCTGTAAAACTAAGTAAATTTAACGATAAATGCCGCAATGAATTGCAATATCGAACAACATGTTCAACACCTTTATCAGTTAATGCCTCCACTGTTATATATCCATTTAACTCAATTGTTTTAAGCTGAGAACCAATTACTTCGAGTATCTAAATGAATAAAAGTTTGTTATTAAAAATTTTCACCAGTTGTAATAACTGCACACCTTATTTTAAGCATTTATTTTCACCTTTTTAAGACCATCATCGGTGACAGTTGATAACCCGTTCAATCGAAGATGTTCAAGACAATTTAGTCTTATTAATGCACGAATAAGTGTTTGACTATCATAAAGCTGTGTACCAGATAAACATAAATCAACCAATTGAGATGGCATAAAACATAAATAATCGGCCATAGATTTTTGTGAAAAACAATTTGTATAAGACAGATTCAATTGTTGCATGTTCGTTACGCGTGTAAATAACTAAAAAAACAAATATAAACATCGCATGATATTCTATTAACCGTCACATTTTTTCCACTCGGTTTTTAGGTCTGATTATGAAAATTCAAATTTGGATTAACTTTATTTTTTTTAGACTACCTTTATCAATGATAATCCGGTATGAAGTGCATAGCTGCCATTCACATAACTCGACCATATACGTGACTCCGACACTTTTTAAGCGGCTTTCTTGCCCCTATATCTTTTACATAGAGGGACGCTCGGTGCTCGTGATTATGTCGTTGTGTGAAGAAAAGTGTGCTCAGAAAGATGGGACATGTAAGAGTCCTCTACGGCTCTTAGATATAGAAATATATCAACAGAATCAAGACATATTTTGTTTAAAAATAAGAAAATATTTTAGAGTACTGTTGAATATCTCTATGACCAAGAGTCTTAGAGAATTCTCACACGTCTTACCTTGCTGAGCACACTTTTCTTCACACAATGACATAATCAGAACACCGAGCGTTCTTCTATGCAAATGGACAAAAAATCGCTTAAAACGTATCGGAATCACGTTTATGGTCGAGTTACATGGTATGGCCGATAGTCAACTCACCGTAAATAAGCCATCACCATTTAAACTATTTATTCCAAATAAATTTAAACTAAAAGAAAACAAAATTAAAACCGACCATTGACATCAGCGCCTCACGTACGATCTTATATTTGGACAATAATTGACTAGGTGGGCAAAACTGATATCGTCAATATATTTTAAACCTTCTACGTCTAAGATCTCCTATAAAAAACAGTAAACAAAAGTTGGAATACAAACATTTTTTTTTCTTTTACGTACTAGTTTATCGGCCAAATGTTCTGCAATGTATATCACGCATTGTCCAGTTAATGAATAACAATTTACTAATCGGATACATCGTAAGTTAAGATTATTACTGACTAATGATAAAATTCCTGTATGAAAAAGAGATGACGAAACGTTGAATGATTTTTATGAATGTATAATGATTACCATTGTCTTTAATTTTCTCATTAGAACGTAAATCAATTTCACGTAGAAATGCTGAATTTAATTCTGTTAAACCTTGATCGGTTAAACGTGATTGTTTTCTTAACGCAACATATTCTAATGCTCGTTGATTTTTTGTGATGGCACGAATACCGCCATCTAAACAGGATAGGAAAGAAATTCATTTACAAAATACAGGAAAAAAATCAAACGTTTTTTTGTACCTGATACTTGGTCACATTTGTGAATTGTTAATTTTTTCAATTTAAATTGACTAGTGGAAAATTCAATAAGCATTTGATCTGTTAGTTGTGTACATTTATAAAAATTCATCTCATACAATTGAGATGTGATTAAATGGCGCATAATATGTGGTGTAATATCCTGTGTTAAATAATCATGATTCGATAACCATTGTAAAACAAGTTCACGTTGTTTAGATGTCAAATAGAAACGTCCTTCATCTCTTATTGCCGCTAAATTAATTGCGATCTTCTTAATAAGTAATTCACGAAGTTTCAATACCATATTTGATTATCAATCTGAAATTTGAATGAAATAGAACCACAATGATGAGCTCGAGTCAAGAATGATTTAAACTCATATACGATAAAAAAAGGCGACCTTAACCTTTCAGTATGGACACATTAGTTTGACAATTTTAAAGCAAATAATCTCTAATACTTTTCTTTCCCCATTAACCAAAAAGCAGTGCGTTCATGTCCATAATGAGTTAGTAAGCTTATATTTAACTCTAACTACAGCCTCACAAGAATCCTTTTGACTTTCTCGGCTAGTCCTGTTGTATTTTTTGACTGGCGAATCACACAACGAAATTTGTTTAGGACCAAATGGTATTGTCAGATTTAATGTGGCATGCAATTTGTACACATTTCAACTGGGTAGCTCATATTTCATTGTATCGTGAAAATCTAGACTCGAGACTTGATATGTGATAAGATACTGGTGCTGGATCAAAGCATATCTAATGAATGCTCAATACTCTTTCAATTCAATACTAAGGCTGAATCAGAAAAAAAAGGAGCATTGAGTTAATTAAAAATCATAGTTGATTTGACACTTGAACACTGACATTAAATAACAGCAATGTGCGATATAACAATGAAAAACATGCTAAAGTAGAAGAAAACTCTAGTGTTAGTTCACACTAAATCCAAACACCAGACTTACATGCGTAGATTCGATGCAATGCATTTGAAAAAAACTTCTCAGGATAACATCGTTTGTGACGCTCACGGGTAACATCGTTGTGACGCTCACGATACCAGCGATGATTCAATGATTAGTGTGGCTAGTTTCATAGCTCTTAGATAACTGATTTCCATTTACAGTGACAGGCAACGTCCATCTTCAACTAATGGAAAAACCGTCCACCGTTTTCGAATGATTCTTAATATTGCGCTAAAGAAGTTTCACATCAAAACATAAAAACCGTTTATATACAATTTATGAGTATTAGGAACAACATCATTCAACTTTCTGTTTAATTTGATTGTCTGTGGATAAACAAACATATAACATCATTCCCTAATCGAGAACTGAAATTGATCAAGCGAGATATTGAATGGCATGCAATGTTTAAAAAATAAAATCCACGTACAACAATAGGATCACAGTGGAGGGAATAAGATCATATTAGGAATATTTTCCTACTATTTGTTGCCCGCATTGAAGAAACGCAGATTAGTTATACAAGTTTTTCTGTCAGATTTTCATCAACCTCAGTGTTTCGCCGATTGAATAAGAGGCAAACGCATGTGTGAAACCTACCCCTAAGCAAAAAAGATTTTTCGAAAAAGCTTTTAAAATTTGGAGTTTCTTCTGAATAAGGTGAAATACAAAAAAATAAATCACATCAAGAGAAAACCTCCCTATATTATCAGTGGTGATCCAAAATGGTATTGCATCATCAGAAGAAATTAGAAAAAAACTGTAATCACAGCATTTTTTGCAGGAAAGTTTGGATCGAATGAATGAATGAATTTATTCACGAAAAGTGAGAGTCATCAAAGATCCCCGATCTATAAAACAATGACTCGATCCAAACAACAGAGTATAAATAGGAAAAATAAAAATAAAATGTAAACTAGTGTACGAAAATAGAGAGATAATAAAGAAAGAATAAAAGAAACAAACAAAAATAAAATAAACAGTAACAGCACTGGGTTTGTTTTAACTGTAAATATGGCTATGTTCTACTACAAAAGATGGTGAGATAATATTTTAAATGACAATAACGAAGAAGAACGAACGACTGATTCTGGAAGATTATTCCAGTCAGTGACAGTTAGATGAAAGAAGGAAGACGAAACTGTTTGTGGAGAAAAATCGTTTACAGAGGTGGAATACGAATATACTTAGAATGATGACAACGTAAGGAAGAATAATAAGGACAATGAACATTATAAAAAGAAGCAAGAAAGCTAAGACGATGATAAATCTTGAAAAACTGTACCAGTCGACAATATTCACGACGAAGTGATAGATTCTACACCTATCCAACGGAAAAACCGCTCGTTTTGTGTCAGTACACTAGTCATCTGCATCATTCAGTCAAGATCATGTAAACTGAAAACGTCATTGAGATGCCAACACAATGAAGAACAGAAAATTTTGGATGGATGTCATAATATGGCGGAGGTTTTTTATGGACTTACCTATTAGAAGATAGTGAGAGAGAAACATCAATGCAGAATAGAAAAAGAATGAATATATGGCGATACAACAAGGCTTAGAAATAGACAGAAAGATACGACAAATTCAACACAGTTTCTATCATTGACTTAGAGAAATATTACTTCCATCATAGCAGATATATCATTAATAGTGAACAGAGAGACGAACAAACTTGGATTTAATCCTTTGTAGACCTGCACTGGGGGAAAAGATATCAGCTTTGCACTTAAACGTTTCAGTTTTCGTGTTTTTACACTGTTATTCTATAAACTACGCAGGAAAAATGATAGATAACAGTAGAACACGTGAACGAAAACACACCCACCATTCGTAGCTAAAATCGGAACCATTGCTCATCGAATATTTTTGATTTACTAAGATTCAATAGATGACAAATACATTCCTTGCTTGGAAGAAAACGTTCGATTACTGTTTTAAGTGAAGAAAGAGAATTAAAACTGTCTCTTCTATCACGCTTTTCTCGCAATCTAATCGCTTTTCGCGCAAGTGGAAAAGAGGGTCTTACACTTCAAAGCAAGTTTTTATTTACTCTCTATCTAGCGTGACGCATAACTGAGACTCTTAGTTTCACAAATATGAAAGTAATTAGGTTAAGATATGGTCCGTGGATTGTAATAGATAGTAAAATACGAATTTTGCACGAGTTAATTACTCATGCTCACTCATCTTTTCCTATCAGAAGAGAAAAGTGAGTAATATAATAGATAAGTAAATTGTCAGACTACTCATCGAAATTATACTTCTATTTATTTCGAAATATAATACATTCGAATGTTCTGCAAATAACTTTTAATAGTTAATTGATGGAGAGGTACAGCTTTTGGTCAACTGTTCTTGCTATATATAGCTTACTGTCATCTGTTGATTCCTGATTTATTTCGATCAAAGCTCATGAGCATACCATAAATAACGAAGGCTAGTACAAGACATCAGAGTACCTTGTGGTATGACCATTCAGACACATATAAAATGATAATAAAGAAACAATAACAAACAAAAAACAAAAGAGAAAAAAAACTAAATAAACCGAAGGAGTCCTACCAACTATAATGGTAGGACAGCTGTTAGTCTAATGGGAACAGAAAGAAGACAAAATTATAGTGAGAGGTGATTGAACAGGTTATTTTTAAATCTTTTCGGGTTTAGTATAGATGTTAAACCATGCGGTAACAAGTTATACTCTCTAAAAACGATGAATAAACAACAGAAAATGACGAGAAAGGTACTTTCACGGTAGCTGTAGAAGTTAAACGTGTACGGCACAATAAATGATGACGCATTCAAAAAAGATAGATTTTTGCGAATAGAGTGAAATTTAGTTAAACAAAAAAGTTGGCGTCTCTTATTTAAGTCCGATAGACTGAACTTTAATATCAGAGCTCGGCTATTATCGTAATGGTTGACATTTCTTGAGATTATACGGGCTGAGAGGCGTTGAACCGTTTCTAAGGGTTGCAGATGGATGGGAAAATCGGAATCAAATATTGCACTACCGTAGACCATCTTAGAGGATGAGTTGACCATTTCATATCATTCGAAAAGATTGGGCCTAATAGTTTAGACTGGAAGTCAAGGGACAAAGCTCTAGCTGCTACTTGCAGTAGTAGAGGTTGTGTTGAAGAACTGGTAAAAGAGAAATACGTACACATCAACACGACCTGTTGTGAAAAGAAGATTGCCGGTTTTTACAATTTCTATTCGCCTCGATGAATATTTTCATCGATAATAGGAATGAATTACAAAATCGGATATACATATTTATATCAGACACTAAAGTGTTGTTGAACGTGCCTGCATAGCTATACTTTTTTAGCTTAATATACGTGGTACAGTAAAGGCTAATTTACAAAATATGATTTGACAAAAAACGAGCCATTAACAGAGCCAATGTGAAAAAGATTAATTAATATTCATATATTCATATATGATCAATACCATAATGAAACAAAATACAAAGACAGCGAAATGCAACTATAGAAAAAATGAACAAAAAACCTTGAGTAGACTGTTTCTTTTCAACTTCTCTGCAGAGAATTATGGCATTTTGTTGCAATTGTCCTGCTAGTTATATCACCTATCAAAGGTTAAAATTGATTAGTATCTTCACTCATGTTTTCACAACCGCTCTTGGTCACTGATGCCCTTCGGTCAGAGGTCTACATTAACCAGACATGTCCGCTGAGATGGACGGACATAGAGAAACAAAAAATTTTTAACTTCTGAAAAAGATTTGATAGCAGCTAGTCTTGCAGAAGAAAGAACTTTCTTACGTACTTACTGTAACATTCTCACACTATTCTCTGTTTTTACAACCGAAGAAACTGGAGTCAGAAAGCAAGAAGAGGCGAAGAACAAAATTAGTTAATGATTGGTGATAAAAGTAGATGCAATGATATGCTACTTTAAAACTTTGTTTTCCGTCTGATCTTCACATCAACAAAAATTTACCACTTTGCTTTTCGAATTCCCATTTCGTTTTTTTTCCCGCTTTCTGAATCAAGAGAGAAGAAAAAAGTTTATGTGTCTTTGGAAATACAAAATGCACTTTGTTTGATCATCGGGAATGACGCTGATAACTCAGCAGTTCGAGGACCGTACCGGGAAAAATATTCTGCTTTGGAAGTGCTTGCGAAAATTGTTTTCCATTATCACTCTGTCGGCGTTGAATTTAAAGGCAACGTGGAAAATTCACTTTGAAAATAACTCTCATTAAAAACACTTTTAGTGACTAGAGATTACTGATTCGAGTACTCGTATATGATTACATTCACTAGTGAATGGCTGTTGGTGCATGTTTTAAATGATTGCTTTTGAAACCATACAGATTTTGTTATCTGAAAGAAAGAGAACATTTTCATTTCTCACGAAAGTGACTATAAAATCTATAGATAAAAAGATACACGTGGGCTAGTCGCCTGTGAGCTTGCCCTTTATCTTCATACGAAAATAGTCAATATTATGTTTTCCTTCAATTTGTTTATAGATAAACACAAAGACATTTCAACGAAGATGAGTGGAGATATTTACGTCAAATATAACCCAAAAGATGTTCAAATCAAAACATGGTCTGTTCAACGAACATTAGAGCCACTTGTTACACAGGTATGTTGAGCTAAAACAAGCATAGTTCCATATCTAATTCACAACATGTTTTTCATTTATAAGGTGACAACATTAATATCCGAACAACCGTCAAATAAGAAAAAGGGTCGTTCAAAACGTGCACATTTATTAGTGTCAAGTGTTATAAAAGCTACCGAAAATTTTATTACTAAAGCAGCAGAAATAGCAAATGAAAATCCAGATATGAAAAATGATTTGTTGACAAGTATGGAAGATGTAAAAGGAGCAGGTAAATAAACTTTGATAAATAAAGAATATTAATGTTACAAGACAATAATTATTTTTCCTAAATCAAGGTGATCAAATGGCTGTTTTGTCAAAAGAATTTGCTGATGATCCATGTTCAAAAGCAAAACGTCAACAAATGATTGATGCTGCTAGAGTCTTGTTAACATCTGTTACTCATTTATTAATTTTGGCTGATCTTGTTGATGTACAACTTATACTAAAATCAATTCGTCTGGTAAAAAACTTTGATTACTTTTATATGAATTATTTTTCATGAATGTTTCTTTTTGTAAGGTTGAAGATGATTTACAACATATACGTGATGCATCAAATCAAGAAGAATTAATACATTTTTACAAACAATACGGAAAAGATATTATTGATCTTAGTAATCATGCACATCGTCGTCAATATGTAAACATTTTTTGTATACTCTGTGATCATATTTTGTTCAATTACTGAAACTGATGACATTCTTATAAAAATCGACTACTTCCCTTAAGAAAGCATCAAAGAGCTATATTCTGATTTATCGTTAAATTCTGTTATGGATACACTGTTTCTTTCGTTTTTTAGGATCTCGTCGATCGTTTTGAACAAGAAAAATTAGCTCAAGCACGTGGCACTATAAAACGTACATCAGTCATGTTATTGACGGCATCAAAAGCCTATATTCGTCATCCAGAAATAACATTTGCACGTGAAAATCGTGATTACGTTTATAATCAATTGCGTGACGCTGTTAATACAATATCGGCAATAACCCAAGGTAAACCAGTACCAAATACACAAAGTATAAAAGAATCAATGAATACTGTGGGTGATTTAACAAGAGCATTAAATGAATTTGATGTAAGTCTGTTTTTATTTAGATTTTACTCTATAATTTTCTTTATTTTTATCTATGTTTAGAAAATAGTTATTATGAAACCAATGAAGTTTAATGAACAACTTATTCGTCCACAATTAGAAGAACGCTTAGAAAGTATAATATCAGGTGCTGCATTGTTAGCCGATTCACTATCAACAAGAGATGATAGACGTGATCGTATTGTTCAAGAATGTAATGCAGTTAGACAAGCTTTACAAGAATTATTGGATGAATATATTCAACATGTACGTTCGTTTATTTAGTCATACACACTGTCTTTTAAATAATATAATCATTTGAAAGACCATATTTTTGTTATTTTAGTCGAAAAAGAAAAGTTCGGATGAAGATGTTAATCGAAAAATTCAATCAATGCAAAATAAAACACGCGATTTACGTAAACAGGTGGGAAAAAATAGTATTACTTCTATAGGAGAAGTTAATAATATGTAGGAAATGACCACTATGAACTCTCAGAAAGTCTTCTATATTTTTTCTGGATAATGTGCTGTTCAATTTAGAATATTTGATATTTTTATCACATTTTTTAATTTTCTGCTCCTTTATAAAGGCATCCCTTAAGAGTACCCCGCCTCTTTCTTGTAAAAAAATATTTCATTTTGAGCTGAACATAGCACAATGTAGAAGAAAGTCTGGGCTATAAAATAAGACCACTTCTAGCTCTCCGCGACCTTCCTTGAAAAACTTATGAAGTTTTTACTTTTTTTCCTTCAAAGCCTATAAAATCTCAATTTTTTTCTCCTTGCTTGTGCATTCAAACTTTTTTCTGATACATAGACTGATAAAAGAAAGTCTACTCTTCAAAAAGAGATGTCTTCCAGAATTTTCCGATGTGTTTTCGTGAAAATATGAGCATCACCGCAAATGCCCTGAAAAACAGAGCGCTGTGTACAATAAGTGTTTTTCTCACTATACGTTTTTTTTATAATCCCTTCAATCCAATCACATTATGAACCTCGAAAAAAATGCTCCGATTGAGCTGAAATTTTTACCACCAATATTTTGGATCCTATCTCAGATTCTTAAATATTTTCTAAGCGTTTTCGGTTTCAACTTTCGACTTTTTAAAATAAAAAAACGAGTTTTCGTATGGGAGTTTTCGTATTTCTCGAACATCTCGAGAAGGAAAGCATATTTTTTGAAAAGAAAAAAAGAACCTGAGATAAGACCTAAAGTATCCGTGGTAAAATTTTAAGCTCGATCAGACCATTTTTTCGACGCGTCGTAATGTGACTGGATGAAAACTAGAGTTTCCAGAAAACCCATAGAAGAATATGTAAGAAAATTCTGGGCAAAAATACATCCATTTTCTTTTTTGATGTTTTATCTCTAGTATAAATTCCACCCCGGTCAAACACCAGACTCCCCGGTTTTCAAGAGGAGCAAAAAAGAGGGAAGGGGGGGGGTATACCCTTAATTAACAGTCTTTTATAAGATTCATAGTGCCCTTCTTGAAATACCTTTGAGCTGCTGCATTAAGTACACAATTTCAATTATCTGCTTCTATAAAAAAAAGTGGTTGGACAGATAATCAGTCTCCTTCTTTGATAATAAGCTCGCGATTGGGTAACGACATTTCATCGAAAGATTTTTCATTGAACGACATTTCGTCGCACTGATGGATGTACTATTGAGTTTTCCTAGATAACTGAACGACAATCGTAAAATAAGTAAAAGCCCGTGTACCTTTACTTATTTTGCGATTGTTATTCAGTTATCTAGGAAAACTCAATAGTACATCCATCAGTGCGACGAAATGTCGTTCGATGAAAAGTCCTTGCGATGGAAAGTCGCTCGATGAAAATTTCAGGCGATGAAAAGTCCATGCGATGCAAAATCTTTCGATGATTTGTTGTGGACTGCCTCGTGATAATTCATTTATTTGCTTTAAGCTTTAATCTTGAACCAGAACGAAATCGATAATATCAATTTCCATTATATCATTCTGAAACTTAAACTATCAAAACACAAATCAATCCTTGCACAAAGGTTTGATCGAACACACGAACTTGATCTTTGCAGACGAACTGCAAAAATCAACTTCACTGTTCTTTTCCTGTATTCTGTACAATGACTGAAGTTGTGCATTTTTATTTATTCATTTATTTCAGTTGAAGGAAACTGAAACTGTAAGTCTTTTTCAACAAATACCGAAGCTTTATTAACAAAATTTCAGCAAATTACGTTGGTTAAAAAAATGAAGCTTACGCAAACGTTTAGTTCGGCTGTTTTTCGCATTCGTTGCTTATTCATATTTGTTACTCAAAATGACGTTGAATTGAGTTAGCCGAAGGACTGGTATATATTCTAAAATTTGTTAGTTTAAGCTATTTATTGAATCAGAATAAAATCGAGAATATACAAATTCTGTGTTCTTAAACTATCAAATACAAGATCATTATTATTATTAATATATAAAACTTGAATATACAAAACTATTGACAACAAAATTATTGAATATAAAAAACTTAATCTTTACAGAGGAGTAAAATTTTCCGAAATAAATAGTTAAAAACTTTAATTCTAGTAGTGTGTATCACTAGTAAGTTCAAATTTAAATAAAATAAAGTGAATATTTTTTGATGGTAATTTAGATCCTTTAAGTTTGAAAAGAAAATGTTGAAGTGAAATTTATTATGTTGAGTAGCACTTTATCATTTGTGCTCAACATTTTTCTATTCTTACTTTAATAACAAACGTATGTAGACAATTGCTGTCGACAATATAAAATTATTTCTTTTAAAGTGTCAGAGTACTAGAGTGAATAAAATTTATTATTCATGGATGGTTGTCGATAGTCAAATATATAGAGATATTGAGATACTTTATTATTCTTATTAGTCTTTGTATAAAAAATTTGTATTGTATATATACTTTTCTTGAAACAGAAATTGTTTTTTTCACTTTTTTCCTGTTAATTGTTCATTATATACATGAAAGAATGTCTTTTACATTTGTCTACAGAAGATATGTATATAGATATATATATATATATGTGTGTGTGTGTGTTTACGTATATTAAGGTGATCTATCTACAATTATATCTTTATAAAGATAAATCTCTTTATATATACATAAACCCATTTCTCTCTTCATGTTTGATGTATCTATTCACTGTTAGTTTTAAAAAAAAAAGAAAAGATTCCTTTCTTCGTTGGTTAATTATACGTGCACACTACTCAACAAAATAAAACATCGTTATTTTTCTTACGTTCAAAAGAAAATCGGAAGAAGAAAAGAATCCGTTAGTTTCCTTTATATCTCTAACCTACATATGATAGTAGAATTATTTATTTGTCAAGATAAAATCAAATTCGTCTAAGATAGATAGGAATATCTTTAAGAAATCTCATAAAAAAAAAAAGAATTTTTGAAAATATTATATAAAAACGCCTATTATACTTTTAAAAAAAATGTATGTCATTACTATTGTCATACAGTGTAAAAAAGAAAAAATCTTGTCAAGTGTTAATTGAACACGTATCAACTTTTACATATATGATATATTATGTTGATTGAATAATTTCGTTTTTCTTTTTCTTCTTCTATATATTGTTCTTTTGTTATGTATTTTGTGTCAAGTATTTACACTACGCTCAATAGTATCGATAGTAATAATATTTTGTTTCGATAAATTCTTTCTACTACTTTTTAAAAGAGATCTACTTTGTTAAAATTATTCTAACAGTATACTATAAAACAGCAGCAACAAATATGTATGTATATATTTGTGGTCCACCGCATGCCGGTAAACTCTATCGTGAATTATCATCTTCATCTTCGGCTGATTCATTCGAATGTTCATCATATTCAATGAATAAAACGTATCCGGTATGTTGTTTAACTATTGAAACATGTTTGCTTTTCAAATCATTATGCAAAAAGCTTTGTATGTAATTGACATTTTTTGAGCTAATATATATCGACATTGTTGTGTGTTTTTTTGATTTTCTTACAGAGTAATTTAATTATAATAGAAATAAAATAATCTCTATAATATTATTTTAATTTCAAAAAAAATGATGCTTATCATAAATGCTCAACCAAGAAGGAAAATTTTAGAGTTGTACTCATATTATTTTAATATTTAGAAAGAAGACAAGATTGTTTTTAACTATTTGGATGACAGTTAAATATTCATTTATATCTAAATTCTTTTTGTTTTTTGTTACTTAGCTACGCAAAGCGGTTATTGATCATGTTAGCGATACATTTTTGGCTACAAATGTACCATTATTAGCATTAATTGAAGCTGCTCGACGTGGTAATCAGGCATTGGTCGAAGAAAATGCAAAAGTATTTATGGAACATGCAAGCAAATTGGTTGAAGTACGAATAATAAAACAATTATCTTTTTTTTTCTTCCCATTTTTTACCTATGTATATGTTTGTAGTGCTAAAATTTAAAAGATGGGTTTTTCACTTACACCGACAGGTTGTATGAGATACAATGCTTTTCTTTATTACATTTGCTTTAATATTGTGTGGTGGACGATAAGAAATTTGAAGTTTATTCTGCATGACAAACATTTTTTTTTTCCTCTAGTAAAACTTATCAAGAAATTTTTTATTTGTCTTTAAGGTTGCTAATGTTGCTTGTTCAATGTCGGATCAAGCGGAAGGTATCAAATTGGTTCGATTAGCTGCATTACAAGTACAAAATCTTTCACCACAAGTAAATATTTCTGCAATAAGTTACTGGTTAGAATAGTGATATGTTATTTTTTCTTATTTTTAAAGGTTATTAATGCTGCACGTGTATTAGCTGTTCGTTCAACATCGAAAGTAGCACAAGAAAATATGGAAGTATTTCGTGACGCATGGGAAAAACATGTCCGCCTATTAACAGAAGCTGTTGATGAAATAACAACAATTGAAGACTTTTTAGCTGTATCGGAAAATCATATTTTAGAAGATATTAATCGTTGTATTTTGGCGATGGTTGAGAGAGATGCTGATCGTAAGTTGAATTTGGAAAGATTTCTAAAAATTTATTTTATTCAATTTATTTCTCTATTTTAGGAGTTGATCGAACGGCTGGTGCTATTCGTGGACGTTCTGGACGAGTTATAGATGTTGTCACTGCTGAAATGGAAAAATATGAACCAGGAGAATATACAACTGATGTGATGGTTAATGTTAAAATATTAAGAGATCAAAGTAAACGAGATAATTATAAGATTACATATTGATATAAAATTAATTTATCTTATTTGTTTAGTAATGCCAAGATTTGCTGATCGTATTAAACAAGCTGTCGATACTTTATGCATGAAACCAACACGTGAACCAGATGAGAATGATGTTATTGAAGCGTCAAGATCAGTTTATGATGGTATACGAGATGTGCGAAATGCAGTACTCATGAATCCGGTACGTTCAACTTTAGTTGTTATGGGCCAGCAACCAAAATTTCGTCATAGATCATTGAATTGCATATTTTCATCATCGATAGAGGAACTTAATACTAGAAAACCTACAATACTTAAAAAGATAAAAAGATATAGAAGTTAGAAAAAAGGAAAATTTATCTATCTGATGTATATAGTTTCTTTTCTTTTTCTTTCATACTGATAGCTAATGAATATTTTGACTTTTATTTTTTAATTCTTAGAGACGTCTTTTTTTTGTTGTTGAAACATTTATACTTCTCCGCCCAAAAGTAAACAGTCAGATTAGTTCTTCCAATCTTCTCAGGAAATACAACTTCTAATGTAATATCAGGTTATTTTCTTTCTATTACCATTCGTTCAGCTTGCAGAACAGAATACTGACTGACAGAAACACGGAATTTACTGAATGAGTTTTTGCTTTATGTATAGGTAGTCATTGTAAGATGAATAATTTATTCGCTATATTTTCCCTTTCCAGAGATATAAATATACTCGCGTGCCACTGGTAAAGTTCTCGTTTATTAAAAGCTTGATATAATTAAAAAATTTTAAAAAATGATCAAAAAAATTTGATTGCTCATTTCTTTTTCTTCTTCTTCTACTCTCAAGAAAATAATTTTGACTGTACATACTCTTTTTTTTTTTGTGTTTGTCGTATCTTTTTGTGATAAAAAAATTTACTTGAAAAAATTATGAGCGAAAGGGGTAAGTGATGCTCATCGCTTTTTGTATAGGTAATTAAAAAGAAAACTAAAAACGTGCTTCTATTTGCTTCTAAATTTTTATTTTCAAAGCTGCTTATTTTTATAATCATATTTTATTTTGGCTATCAATACTAATTCAACGTCTAATTATATTCAAAATAATTGTTTACATTTTCCATTTCATTTTAAAGGAACTTGAATGGCCAAGTGATGAAGAAGATGGTTTTGCTGATGAAATTTATGCACCATCGCAAGCATCTAGCCACGGACCATCATCAGACAGTGTACGCGAAGATGTGGAAATATATCCTGGAAAAAATGATAATCCAAGTCGTGTAAGTATTGAAATAAATTATTTATATAGTGATTAAAATTAAACTTTATTTTTTGCTTCTTTTTAAGGATATGATGAGACGTTTACCAAAAGAAGAACGTGAACAAATTGAAATTCAAGTTGAAGGCTTTAAAAAGACAAAACGTGATTTTGATCGTGAAGTATTGAAATGGGATGATAAAGGAAACGATATTATTGTTTTGGCAAAAAAAATGTGCATGATTATGATGGAAATGACTGATTTTACACGTGGCCGTGGTCCGTTACGAACAACAATGGATGTTATTCACGCTGCTAAAATGATTTCAGAATGTGGTACAAAATTGAATAAATTGGCGAAAGATATTGCTGCACAGGTTAGAAATTTAATGTTTAATCAATACTATATTATTATCCATTTTTAAAACGAATGTCAGTAGCTATTTCTTAAATAACTTAATAACGAAAGGTAATAGAAACTTGCGGTTTTTATTATTCAATAGGTAAGACTTTAAATCATGTTTTCATAATCAAAAATAATATGAAAAAATTTCTTAAAAACCGGTTAACACTCGAAAATCGTTTCATAACTGGAAGTGTTAAGGTAGTAATATACTGTCTTTCTTTATGAGCAAATAGTTCAGAGCGTCTTCTAAATGAGAGTAAAGGAAGACCATATTTTTCAGTGAGTCGGACGTAGTATGAAATTTTCAAGAAGTCCTACGACTAGTGATCGGTGAGTTGGAGTAATTTTTGAAAAAATTGGAATACCCAGGCTGTTTCCATCTAATGTTAAAAAATTCATAAATCATTCAAAAAGCATCAGAACGAGTTCAAAATGTTAGAGGAAACCCTTTCAGAAAACCATAAGGTTTTCTAATTTTATTTTGTAAGTTCATTGTGAATAGTGTTTAGAATAGTACATATATCGTATATCCTGACGTTTTCACCTCGTTCTGATGCTTTTTGAGTGATCTATGAATTTTTTAACATTAGATGGAAACAGCCTGGGTATTCCAATTTTTGTAAAACACGACTTTCATTAGATTTTTGATTTCTTCTTCAAAAATAAACGTTGGCACCAGATTCAGAGTTGTCAATTACGCATGTTCCGTGCGCTTTTAAATTTACTCCAAGTCACCGATCACTAGTCAGTCGTAGGGCTCCTTGAAAATTCCATATTACGTCCGAATCACTGAAAAACATGGTCTCCCTTAAGAGATTTTTTTCAAATTGTTTTTGGTTATGCAAAGGTAATTTAAAGTCTTACCTTTTAAATGATGAAAAACGCACGTTTCTGTCATCTTTCGTTATTGAGGTATTTAAAAAATGGATAATAGCAGATCTACAATGCGTGTTACTTCATATTTCTACAATAAATATTCAAATAGTTTATACTGCTTTGTGACGATGGCATTATTTTTCGTTTAGTGTGCTGAATCTCAATCAAAATCTGATCTTGTTGCTTATGTTGATCGTACGTATTGAAATATTTTATATTTGGAGTTTTAAGTGAAAACTTGACTTTGTTATCTTTAGGCATTACACTCTATTGTCATCAACTGGACATTACGAGCAAAGTGAAAGCCGATGTTCAAAATATTAGTGGTGAATTGATTGTCAGTGGTGTAAGTATACAGTGTCTGTTAGTTTTTATGTAACTCCTTCAACTATTCTGAAGGCTAGAGATACTTGATCTTTAGCAGCCTCACCAAAAGAAAAAACTCCGAGGATCACCAGTTAAAGCGAATAAATATAATATAGGGATACATGAAGATTGCCAAGTGGATGCAGAGAGTGTCTTAAATTCAGTGTTTCATCATTTTTGTACATGTATTTTCTTAGCCGTCCAATCTCTCGGGTAATAGTGAAACATGAAGACATCCACAGACACCCACAGACACTTACAAACACCCACAGACAGCCACAGACAGTTGCACAGACAGCCAGAGACAGCCACACAGACATCCAAATACAGACATCCATACATAGATATCCATGGATATCTGTGTAGCTATCTGTATTTGGATGTCTGTGTGGCTGTCTCTGGCTGTCTGTGTGCTGTCTGTGGGTGTTTGTAAGTGTCTGTGGGTGTCTTCATGTTTTACTATCACCCCCAATCTCTCTCAATTTGTGTTTGTTTTTCTTCTCGATATCGTCTTTCAAAATGTGTACGCCTTAATATTATAATGAGAATTTAATCACATTCTTTCAGTCATTATAGTTTAATTCATATTTCGATCATTTCACTGTTTGAGTTCAACTTTGGTTTTGATTCTGACATGGTTTAGAATTCCTATGATTCTTACATGCTCTGGAATTTCTATTATTTTTCTTCTTTTTTTGGGAGCCACTAGAATAGAAACTAAGTAAGCAACGAAAATATTTAAATGAATAATTAATTGTCTTTTCATCAATGCGTATTTTTATTTTGTGTGCGGACACGCCAATGAAAATCGTGTTTCCTTCTTATGCTAGAGTTTTTGACCTGAAACTCTATTTAGGAGTTAGACATCTTAGTTCCAAAGGGGCTACGCTAACTAGCTTTTTACTATTATATTAAGATTTATTTATTTTTTTAGCTTGATAGTGCTACATCATTGATAACAGCAGCTAAAAATTTGATGAATGCAGTGGTTTTAACTGTAAAAGCTTCATACATAGCGTCAACAAAATATCGCAACAAAGCTGGAAATAAAGAGGTAATTAGATCTAATCGATTTATTAAAAATAAAAATATTACATGGATTTTTTATTTCTCATTGATTTAGCCGATTGTTCAATGGAAAATGCGTATGCCTGAAAAAAAACCTTTAGTGTTGATCGATCGACCAAATGAATCAGCTCGCGTTCGTAAAGGTGCAATGAGAAAACGTTTAGAACCTATGGAAGTTTTAAGTGAATTTCACAATAATTAAAAAGAAGAATGAAATGATAAAGCTTCATGTCAGATCAAATCAATTTATTTTCATTCAATTGAACAACTTTGTTTTTCAGTTATTTCTCATTTTGCTTGCACATTCACTTTGTTACGTTCTAATCACTGTGTGCCATATATCTCAATAGTTACGACGATTTTGTTTGTTTTCTAATTTTCGTGTTTTCCCATCTCAATATCCAACACAATCAGTCGAGGTTCTTTTTCGCTCTTATTTTTTTCTTTATACATTGTAGATACGTTTCTTTTTATTATCGTTTTTTTCTTTGTTACTATTTTTACGTACATAAAAATAGCAATATTTTGATTCACTCCGAATATAGACTTGCCAGAATTTTTGAGTTTTCATCTTTCAAATAATAATTTTTGGTTAGACTTATTTTATGGTAAAAGATATGCTCTCAATTTTTGTATGATTTTTACACTGAATAATTACACTTGTTAGCGTTCGCGATATTTGAGTAATCTTTTAATGGGAAGGAAAGCATAGCACTTTGTTTTTTGCGTTTGCTCTATAGAAATGTATGTATAGTCAGTTTTTTTGTATATTGTAAGAATTACGATATATCTGCCTTTTATGCTAGTGTGCTAATATAAATTTGTATATACGAATAAAAATAATAACTAAAGCATGTTCTCTATAAGAAGTGAACCAAAGGCCGTTCACTCATATTCACTTATTGTATACGAATGGTAATTCACAGTCATTTGCCTGCTGGAAAGACTTTTCTCTCTTGGACAAAAGGAAAAGAACTGGGGTGAGATTCATCTTCTTTTTGATCAATTTTTCTGAAAATCTTATAGAAAACCAAGAAAATTAAAATTAAAACTTTTATTACTTTATGTCTGCAAATTCTAATAACAAGACTTCCATAGGGATGTTGGCGCAATGTCACGAACCATGAATTCGCCCAATACACAATCATCATATTTTCCTGTTCTTATAAGGTATAAGACACGAGTCGAATTTGAATGTTCTATATGTAATGTAATATAGACTCAATAATATTCCCTAGGATACAAAAAAACAAAAAGTGAATAAAGATTGCAAAAAACTCACATTTTATATTACAATAAGTCATTTGCTAAACGATTACACATATCAAAACAAAATATTAAAATCCAAAAATTAACAAAAAATTACAAAGAATTGCGAAAATCGATTTTGTTTTCTGGGCTTTCTGAATACTTAATAATAGTTTAATAGTTGTTGAGTAGTACTATTATATAATATAAAATGACAGATATGTCATGTTACTAGAAGACAAAAGGTTGAACTGAAGTGAGAGAGACAATCACAAATATTATTCTTATATAATGACGAAATCTACATACTTTTGATTGTCAAATCGTGCTTTATGGAAAACCTTGCTCATCTGTTAAAAAACAAATCAAGAAAAAATTAGCAGCATTAAAAAGCTTTGCAGAACACTTTACAATCTTCAGATAAGAGTATATAAGGTAACCAGTAGCGTTTGTTCAAATACCTGGAATGCGCACGTTTTGCTGTTTTAGAAAACATGGACGATCATCAACTGAAGTCCCAAAAAGATTCAAGAAAGATTAGGTTTTCTAAACTCAAAACTTGACTATGAAATTTTTATTTTTACACTACCTAATGTAGAATTAAATTCTCTAAAAAATCATATGACGTGTGAGTGGAAGCTCGACAGACTTTTAGACGATATTCTCTCAAAACTGAATACTATCACAGATCAGTTAGAGAATTCCGTTTTTTCGTCAATTTTTATTTTCCAAGAGGATTTATTCTAGAATTCCGAAATACAGATCAGAAGATGCAGGATTTCTCACAGAATTTTGTGGTGTACTTGGAATTCGAATGCAACCTTTTCTTGATAATTTATTTTTTCCTTTACTATAGTGTCGCAATAAGAACATTGAGCATGTATTAATGTTTGAAATACTGTTCAGAGGGAAATAACTTGTTTGGAAATCCAACTCAAGAGATTTGTAGAGCGATCGATTCTCTACCAGAGCTCCGTATGAACTGAGCTGAAAATTTTTTGAGTTCATGAACTCAGACTGGACTCAAACTTTCAAGATCATGGACTGGTCTGGACTCGAAAAAAATGTTCGATTCGCTTGAATGGAGGAAAAATCAGTAAAAAGCATGTTGTTGTATTGTGGACTGGACTGGACCAGATTTTTTCAGTCCATGAACTGAATTGGACTGGACTCAGAATTTTGGTTTTACTTTGATTTTAGAACAAAGATAAAATCATTTTTTTTCAATTAATTGTAAAAATTGTATATATTTTTCAGTTTTGGTTGATAATGAACACAGTAAATTGTTTGAAAGCTTCGAAATAAATACCTCTCAAGTAATGAAGTTTATCACACTTATACGTAGTATTTTATACTTTAACAGAATTTTGGATCCATACGAAGTTCTGTTCTCTACTGAATGAGCATAAAATCAAGTCTTCAAACTTTCGTTAAGTGTCATGAAAAAAAGAAGAGAAAAGTGGTCGAGTTTTTCTGGACTAGTCGTTAGTTCGACTAGACCAGAAAAACAGCAGCAGTATGAGATTTCTGAATTCCAGGGAGCTTTGCTTCTACTCCAGACTTTAGAAATCAGACTGTCGTAGAATTAGAATTCTCAATAAGTTGCTCAAACGCATAGCCGTAGTGAAAAAAATTTCTCATAACAACAGCTCTAAAATTCTTGACCAATTTCGCGAGAAAATCTCTTATCCTACAGATTAGACTAGAAAGGCGATATCTTTTCGGTCTATGCTTGCTGTAAAAATGAAAATTCTATTTCACAATTCCGTAGGGAAAAAATTTCGGACTAATTATTCAGAAAATTTTTTCCTAGGAGACTTGTAATTCCAAGTCCCTCAGAATTCAAACTCTTCGATTTTACAATGGAATCGACCTAGAATGCTGAAATTGTGATCTCTATAAGAAATTTTTTGTCTATAATTTGAATGGAAGTCGAAAATTTCACATATCTCAATTGAAAAACTTTATTCAAAAATCTCGTCTCATGTCAGACTCTTGTTGTTGTTTAATGTCTTCATGTTTGATCATTAATAATTTGATACCTGCATCGGTCCATATCTTTCACTATTTTCTTTACGCAATAAAATGAGATGGGCCAGTTTCAAGTCTTATACGGATTCCTCTTTTACGTAGCAATAAAAAAAACACTTTATTTTATACAGAATAATTTGTCTAAGACAGTGACAGTTACAAATTGAATAAGAAGAAATCACTCACAAAATATTTTGATATTTGACATGGATTCATGAGACGAAGAAAAGTCGTAGAAAATATATAAAAACGCTAGAAGAATTTAATCACCACCCGGTTTCATGTTCGATGCAGCCTAAATGAATAATAAAAAGTGAATAAATTGATCTCTATGTTCCAATGAACTTCGCATTTTACTTGTTGTGTCTGTCCCCATGTTACATAATCAGCTTTTGTTGCTGCATTATATTCATCCATTAATTGTTGAACAATCTATATAAAAGAAAAATCATCGACACGCCTACAAACACTATGGTTAATTATCGGGTACTACCTCACGTGATTCGGTAAATTCATCTAAATTTTCTCTAAACATTGGCAAACGACGAAAATTTTCCACAAATGCTTCACGTTTAATCAATTTATCATAATGTTCAACCATTCGGTCAAATAACTAAAACAATAATGCAACTTTTTAACTTTAACTAAATTTAGTTTTTTATACATACTGTTGAAATACTGGTATGATTGGCTAACATCAGTCCACTAACTCGATGTGTTGTTTGAATATAGGGAGACTTTTTTGACAGAGCTACTTGAATAGAAGCTGGTCCCCACGGAATAAAATTTGCCCATTTTCTTTCACGGATACGCATTAAACTTTTATGAACCTAAACATAAAACAGTTTTCCATTTTCATATCATACTTCTAGATCTCTAGAAGCAAATAACTTTACTTCTGATGCATCGACTTCGCCTTGTATTATATTCAATATCGATACATAACAATGATTTATATTTCGATCACGAGATGACGTAGAGACCATGACATTCTTTGGTTGTAATAAACGACGCATTACATCAAGAACAGTTGTTTTTCTCACAGTTGATTCCTGAAAAAAAAATGAGGATAATAGCGTACACTTCTGGATCAGAAAATCAAAACAATTGGAAGCAGTTATCTTTTCCAAAACTTTATGTTTATTCCGACATAACCCATTTGAAGAGATACGTACAACTTTATCAGCTGTCAATGGCGTGTATGCTGATATTAAAAAATGTAATCTAGGAGTGGGTATCAGCGACGATATTAAACTGATTAAATCATTGTTCATATAGCCAGGATAACGTAATGTTGATGTGCTACCAGACATAATTGTTGAAACCTTGAATAACAAAAACAATAGCAAAATAATACGAGAATTTGATTTAGTTAAAAGTTTTTCATACTAATTGATTTAATTCTGCAAGTGTTGGTGTCTTCATTTTCAAACGCTCAGTAGCGATACGATTTAATGCTGTATTATCTAACACAACCTGAACAATTAAATTTACGTGTTTTATTTAAATTTAAAGATTATTCATGTACTTTGCTTACCGTACAATCAGCATTCTGTGTTAAACGTTTTAATGTCAAAACCGAATTATAAGGTTGAACAACAACATCGGCAACTTCATCTGTCATAGGAAATACAGAATATGTTTGAATCAATTTTTTCGGAAATCTAACAAAAACAAAAGATAAGATACGATTGATTGACAAAGATCAAACAGCGTACCGATCATTCAACTTTTCCAAGATATATGAGCCCATACCAGATCCTGTACCACCGGCTATCGAATGACAAAGGACAAAACCCTATAAAAAATGTATTTAGATGATTAATTATAAGCAATTGTCTAGAATTAACTTACTTCTAACGAATCACCGTTATCTGCTTCACGATCGATTATATCAAAAATTTCTTCTGATAATTTTTCACCCTAATAAAACTGGTTTTAATTCTAATAAAATGCTGTTTAAATTTTGTTACCTGATGATATCCTTGAGCCCAATTATTTCCAGCACCGCCACCGTCTTTGGACAGATAAACATTTTCCGGATTATATAAATGTTTATATGCACTTTTCATAATTCCATCGATAACACGTGGTTCCAAATCGAGAAGTACGGAACGTGGAATGTAGTGTTCATCATCGGCCTAGGAAAAACTTGATTTTAAAAATTATTGCATTCGATAATATCGTTAGAAATCACCTGATAAAAAAACACATCTTTTCTGTCTGATCCTTCAGTTGCGTATGATTCCAATTTTCCCTCTAGAAATACGAGAATTGTTGTACAAAATCATCGTATTTCAGATTGTTTATCTAGTTAATTTTACCTGGACTTATGCCATGCTCGGCACATAATTGTTTCCAAAATTCCATTCCAACTAAATTACAAGTTTGATTAGATTCATTCACTTTAAAATAACGATTCTCCTCATTATACTAACTTTGATTTCCACATTGTCCTAATTGCAATGTAATGATTTCACTAGGCATTTTTCAACAATCTAAAAATGAATATGTACAACAAAAACGTACTAATAACTACAAACATTAGATGCCAAAATATTCGCAATTTATAATGAATATACACTCTGATGTTGATTATTAATCTGAGTGTGAAGTTAAACATTAAATAATGTTGTTGATGATGAGTCAAACTTAATAGGATAAAGTATTTCAAATATATATTTTATTTTAATGTTATGGTCAAAATTATTCATTCTATACTCTATACCATGGTTAAAATGGTGATTTATAATATAATTTCACTTTTTTTAAAGAACAGAGTCAATATCCAAACTAGATTTTGTTACCACTTACAGTGATAAGTATGATAAATATTCTATTAACAGAGAGCTAAAATGCAATATGCAATATAACTTAGTTTAAAAGCAATTGCACCCACCCTACTATATGTTGTTTTAACAAACAGTGCCAAAATACGAGAACTATGCCTGAATAAACTTTTCACTATTCAAAAATCAAAAAGATTTTTCTTGATAGTATCTTGACAATTGGAGCACCAAAATTGATGATACTGGATTCCATTTTCAATTTGAAATACATATTTTGTTTCCTCATTTATTGCATTTTTACTTATATTCTTCTCTTAATAAAAAACAAACAAACAAGAAAAAAGAAATAAACAAACAATCAAACAAAAAGACAAAAGAGCATGAACGAAAGGGATACAATTTTATAATGTTGTATAGAAACAACTCGACTGATTGAATTTAATACAACATAAGAGAAGTGGAGGCAGCATGTGTTGATGTCAAATATACATAGATATAGAGTAAGAAAGTTTATTTTCACGAACACGACATAGAAAATAAAATGGTAAAAGGCAATGTAATACCTATCATCTTGTCTGTCATCCCGTTTGAACAAAAAAATATTTCAAACAACAACGATGTAATGTATCAAGAGAGTAATAAAATAAAGATAATATTGGTTTACCTCATTATAACCTCAAACATTTGGAAATTAGAAAAAGTATTGGTCATTCGTGAATAAGTTATTTCGGTTATCATATTGCTTAAAATGTGTTGTCAAATAAAAACGCTAGATAAATGGAAGCTTAGTAATTTCAACTGCAATTGAATAGTGCTATAAAAGGAGGAGATCATAAAACATTGTGTATGACTATTATGGAATATAAGGTTAAATTTTGTTGATCATCCACTTCCCATTGTCATATCGAAAATAGACAGAAAACATGGTGATTCTTTCGTTCGTCGACCAAATTTCTTTTCAAACTAGATTACAATGATACATTGATGTAACATCGAAGAAACAATACAAATGAAAAACCCAGCAACAAAAAAAAAAAGAGAAACGAATGAGACAAAAAAGTCAAATAAACACTATGTTATTGAAATCAACACGCAAATTTGAATTTTTTTATAGATCAAAGCTGGATGTGCATGTGAATTTGTTTCTGTGCGTGTTTAAATACGAAAAGGATAATGGTAGGAAGCGACAAATAAAAAAGAAGGTAAAGAAACTCCAGATCATCTTAAAAGAAACTACTTGCACACCGGGACCCCGACAAACAGACAGAGAGACATTCCTATTTTAGTCGAACAGTTTCCAATTACATCCGGTTGCGCTTAGACTATTTTACGTATACGTACTTACTTACGCTAAACACATTAAAACACGCACAAAAAGAAAAACATATGTAGTAAAAGAGAAAAAAAGATTTGTTTCCTATCTGTTTTTTTTCTTCATAGAAACTAAACATAAAAACATGCACAAATTATTTGCCGCTATTGGATGTTCAATGATCACCACAAGCAAATAAATAATATCCAAATGAGAAACCAACTATTAATGCAATAATGAACGCAATAATCACTCTTCGCTCGTTTAAATTGATTCCAAATAACATTATCGGTTTCTGTTGCTGTTGATTACGACCAGATAATACAGGATTATCAACACGATTCAGACCAGTACCACCAGTAGTCACACGTTGTCGAACTTTCGCTTGTTCCTAGAATATAGAGAAAATAGTTCTAATATGATCAAATCTTTAAATAATTGCTTTATGGATCAGATAAATCCTTCCACTGGACGTTAAACAAGTATTATTTAAAACATTGTTCTGATCAATAGAAGTACATATTCAAAAAAATTCATCAAAGAGAAAAATTAAAAAATTATTTTTCATCAAAAGTAATATGGATCACAATTAACCATAAAAAATTTTCCAATAAATAATCCTAATAATAACGCAACAGCAGCTCCTAATAAAGTAATACAGAGAACGTTAGATCCTTGACTTTCAATGGGTACAAGTACATTTCCCATTCTACTAGAAGTTCCAGCCACCGTTGTTGATAATGCTCTTGCCGATTGTACTTCAGAATAGACAGTTGCTGAAATAGGAAGAGTTGATGTGCTATACTTTGAGTGGAACAAACCATTACCATTTGTTGTTTGACTTGGGCCAGTTGATGGAAAACTACTTGTATCTTCACCGTTGTTTCCATTACTAAATACTAGCTTACCAGTCGCATTTGTTCCTAAACCGGACGTTAACGATTTTACTTGCTGTAATACGTCGCCAAACTTTTTCCTCAATCGTTGTGATTCATACTATAGTGGATGAGACAATGTTTCGAAAATAATGATAATGTAAATACCAGCTACTTATAAAATTAAAATTAACGCAAAATACTTTTTACATAATTAAAAGTTCAACGCTAATACTATCATTTGCCAAATAAGAATATAATCACAGCAAATATTCAAATACAACACAAAAAGTAGAAAAGATGGCACTGCAAGAAAGCAAAATGAAATAGAAATGTTTAATCTAGCCAAAGTACTTCAATTTATCAAAAGATTAGCGATACGCTTGTGTAATGGTAAGTTAAAGCAGTATATATTTCAAAATACATTTGCGCAAAATACACAACAAAACAGAGACATAAATTAATCACTTTCATAAGCAGAACATATAACAAAACATGAAAAGTTATTGATTTCAGAAGTTTAGAATCAAAATAGAAAATTATGTGTAAAAAACACCTTACACTTACTCTCAAATTTTCATTTTCTTCTTTCAAGCGATCCACTTCCTGTTTAAGACGCTGTTGACTGAAATCCTCCTCCTTTGAAATAAAGAAAAGTCATTCAATATTATTATTATTCGGTATTTAAATAAAATGAGAAAAGCAAAATGTTGTGGGATATAGATAATACTCTGGTAAACTAAAAAAGAAATATACCTGAACTATCCCCCCTCCCCCCAGCAAGCAACAAATACGATCTACATTTCGGAAAATCTAATGAAGTAAGAACTCTATTTTTTTAAACCTGATGGTGTTGCTCGCGATGATGCGTATCTCTATTATGCGTTGTTGAAGACGATGTTTGCTGTTGTTGTTGTATTGTTGATCGATGATTTGTTGGCGTTGTTTCCATTTGACCAGCACTTTGATGCGTTTTGTCAACAGCATTGATTTCAGTCTAAATTTGTCGAAAAAACCAATAAATACAAATTTGAAGTACAATATTTTCATCAACGAAAATGCTAGCTCAAACTAATATGATAAAACGAAAAAGGGTACAGCACAGATCAAACAGTGTTATGTGGCGCTGATCATTAAACATAGCAAAAATATTAATAAAAATTTACATACGGGACGAGATGTTTTCTAGAAAAAAGTTACAAGCAAATCCCTTAACTATCGTTTATTGATGAAATAAAATAAGTGTCAATTTACTTGTGGCTGTGTATTTGTAACTTTATCGTTATACGAGGAGCCACTCTAAATGAAGAAAAGAAGATATTGGCCTTCAATAAAGGCTTTTAAAACAAACATACAAAATCGCCTTCGTGTTGTTGAAACGAATCGTTTGGTACTTTTCTATCAGCAGCAGTTTGATCTTCAGCAAAGACACACTTTAATTTGGAATCTTGAACATCTTTTAGTTTAGATCCCTCTTGTTTCCACTACAAATAATAAATATATTCTATTAAAAAAGAGCAATCCATTCATAAATTGATACATACAAAGTTCTCCACATCTTCCGACCATGTGGGTGGTACAGCAACCCACTGAACCATAAATTTATGTTTCGAACGATCATCTTGTTGTACACCAGTTGGTTGAGGTTGTAACATTACTGATTAAGAAAAAAACAATAAAAATATTTCAGAGCAATTTTAAAACGAGACCTTTTTTCAGCACCTACCTTGAATATTGGTGTTAGTATGTGGATCTAGGAAACCACTATTCGGTTTAACACAATACCGTTTCGGCGCTGTTGTTTTAATTTTATATGCCAATCGTTCATTGCCAGAATTCGAAAGTTTTAATGTTGTCGTTGATACATTATTAAACGGTCCTAATAATCAACAAATGATACTAGAGTGGTCAAAAAGAACTAGAAGTGATAACTTTTATTTGTACCTTTGAAAACGAGATCGGCATTTGGATTTAGTTCCAAAGTCATTGTTCAATTTAGTAATTAGTAAGATGAGAGTGAGAGGAAAAATTAGAGCTAATAAATAGAATATCTTTGAATACAAGCACACACACGTGAATTAACTACTCACTAGAGACTAGTTGTCTTTTATCTTTAATATATCTATAACGAAAACACAAAGCAAAATAACATTGATCTTTAGATCAGACAAGTACTTAGCAAGCTTAATGTTTTGCATCCTTCTTTCTAACCTACAATTATCTGTGAAACGGAATGTTCAAAATTGTCAAATTTGAATAGTGTTTTTAATGAGATTCTGATGCGAAATGCAATTGTAATTCTTAAGTCAAAGCGCATCAAGCTCGAAAATACAAATAGCTTTCTACACAGTAGCTAAGTAGTATGATTATCGTAATGTTCAACAATTTTGTTTTGTTCAACAATGTATATGTGCAGAAAAAAATCTAACTGTTCTTACACCTTCGAAAATTAAAGGAAAAGAAACAGACAAACAAAACCAACAGCACTGTACAAGGTGTTCTTTTTCACGAAAAAAACGCAGTATGGATGATAGAGTCGGGATAAGAAATATATCTTATATTATCTATGTTCTTCTCCTATTCAAGTTATTTCCTCTTTCAGTGCGAAAAACAAAGTGCAAAATTAAACTTTTAGAATGTTATCCAGTGCGCAAATCATCCCGTGCACAGATTATTAGAAATACTGTTAAAATTTGGATTTTAGATAATTCACCTTGACTGATCTACGTGTAACGTTTTTGGTTCATGATAAAGTAGCAAATCAATGAATAAAATAAACCTACTTGTTTTCTTTTTCGCTGCATAATCCACAAACTAGATAGGTGGCAGCCATTTTGACTTTTAGTAGCCATTGAAAATCAAAGCCTCATTCATGATGATTGTTGTAATCAAAGCGAATAAATTTAACACGCATGAACAGTAATATACACGAGACTAAATAGATCGGTTATAGTCGATGACAGTGACTGAATCAATTATTTAAAATGTCACCAATTCCTCCTATCGTGAAATAGCGGTTAGTAAAACAAATGTGGAAAACGGTCTTCCCCGAAGGCAACTGTGCGATGGCATGGAAAAGGTTCTTCCGGAGCTTGGCTGAGAGAAAGGTGTTTCCGATCGAAATAATCTTTTTGCATGAGATGGGACTATAGAAGTCTACGAGAAAAATATTGAAACTATTTTGAGAAAAGTATCTTTCTTTTTATCATCTTATACAGTACAAAAGAGCCAGCATGACATATCCAGTCGTCATGTGATGTTGAATACTTAATTAATATTATTCTGTTATCCGCTGGGAATTGTACTTTTACAGAAACAAGCCGAGCTCAGCATGAAGTTCTGAATTTTAAGATGAAAATTTTTAGTGGTGACAGCGCATTTTGTTTGTGCTGTATGTTGTGTTTTCGCCCTCCATTATTCTGAATTCGTTTCTACCACAATGGTTCATAAATCAAAGGTTGATAGTACATCCATGAAGTAATTTATTAGCGATGTATTAAGAATGTGATTCAGCTACATTAAGGGCTTGAACCAATCCGGACAGCCATTTTGTCTTTTCTGTAAAGGCCTTGCTCAACGGTTTCTTCCATTTTATCAAAAATCTGTTGGATAGAAAGAAGTACCTTGTACCGACTATTAGTTTAGTTTACAAGTTAACTCTCGTTACTTTTAGATACGTTGAATATAGAAAGAGTTTTGAATTGTTTAAATAAATTGGTTTATGTGCGTATGTTTGAATATATATTCGATATTAAAACCAGATTTTAAGGAGTAAAAACAAAATAGCTATGCGTGTTGTCGTATTACCCGTTTGCTTATTGGAATCTTATCCTCACATCTTGTTAAAATATGATTTTCGTTTAAAACAACAATCACAAACCCAAATACAACAACCAACGCAACAATCAACACCCTCGTCACCAGCACAACAACAAACAGTCCTTCCACTATCATCGTCAAAAGACCAGTATTTTTTAACACCATATTGTTCTCCAATAGGCGTTGAAGGGTCGGTAAAAACTGTATGCAATATTATAAGACGTTCAGCTGTTCTTCGAAAAATATTTGATGTTAAAGATGAAGAAGAAGAAAATCTTGAAAATAAAGTAAGAGAAATTTTTATCAACGATTCTTTAGTCCACAAGAAATAAATAGTGGATGTCAGAAAGCACCTTTAGAGCTTTCGTCTTTAGTAGCTGTTTCATCAATCAAAAAACTTGGTACCTAATAATCTTGCATGAAGAGAAACTATTTCGAAATAATTTTGAGATTTTTGAAATTATCTTCTTTCGTTTAGATTGATTTTAAAGGTCATTGTCGTTTTATTGCATTTGGACCTGAAACGGGTAAGTTTCTTTTCCATACTAGCTTTTTGTGTTCTAATTCGTGTTTTGTTATTCCAGATATATGCATATGCGCTTTGTTAGTCAATCATATATCGTCGTTGGAATTAAATTATATTAATATGCCCGAACCGCCATTATCTCGTCAACAATCAAAAATTAGTTATAGTCGTTCTGTCTCATCAACGTCAATGTTATCATCACCCTTATCAGCTACCGGTGATTCTCCAACACCATCACTTGTTCAACGTGATCTTGTTCATTTATGGATATCAATTCGTGATATCCGTCATAAATTGATTCATATTGATCGTGTTCTGAAACAACCAGGTGAATATGCAATTTTGTTTCCTATTATATCTGAATTAATGTTTTTTTTTTGTTCTAGGCATCTTGTCCAAATTGATACATGTCGAAAGCTGGGTTTCGTCGTATAATGAAAAAGACAGTTCATCTCCCTTACAAACACCGACAACACCAAAAAATGGCGAATTAAACGTTCCACCATCACCACTACCATCACTTATCACATTAACGATACGTCATGATGAAAATATTAAGCAAACATCATCACCAACAACAAACCCTTTAGCAGCTTTAACAACAGCAGCCCAACAATCATTACCCTCATTGCCTACACGTTTAGTGAAAGCACGCGCTCGTACACTGGTATGGGATATAATGGAAATGAAAAATGAAGTTCTATATCCGCATCCAGGTATGCTTATAATGTTGCTTCTTTTATTTATTTTACGGTATAACTTTGACTTCTATGTAGTTCATGGTCGAATACCAAATTTTCGTAATAATCCCGATTGTTCAGCAAATTTAGCTCAACTAGAAGAATTTCAACGAAGTCGTGTCATTCAAATATGTCCAAGTTTAGCTCAAGAACATTTACGTTTATTTTCACTAGCAGAAGGAAAAGTATTGTTAACACCATCTCCATCGATTGATGTTGCATTATTTTATAAATTAGATCCAAAATTTTTGAATACGCATGAATTATCGCGTGCTGCCACAAAATCTGGTTTGTACCATATTAAAGTCTATTTGAAAATGAATAAGAAAATATTTTCTTTTTGTTGTAGGTACAGCTGCATTAGGAACAGTAGTCAATTTAAGTGCGGTCGGAAATTTACATGTTGATATTGTTGTTGTTGCATCTGTTGTTGTTAACCCGATTACAGGGGCTCGTTTAGGAAAAGGCAAAGGTTATGGTGATTTAGAATATGCAATTATGCATCAGTTAGGTAAGTACTTATTTTAAAATTAACGAGTTTATCGGCGAAAAACAAGGACAACTAGAATAGCGTAACAGGTTTCTAATTATGTGTTTCCTTTGCTTTTAGGAGCATGTGATGAATCAACACTTGTTATTACTACTGTCCATGAAACTCAATTGTTAGATGATTTACCATCATCGGTTATGACTGATCATGATCTACCTGTTAATGTCATAATAACACCACAGCGCATTATTTACACTCAAAATAAATTTCAACGCCCATGTAAAATAAATTGGAATGAAATTGATAATGATACAATTTTAAATTTACCGGTATTAAAAGAATTCAAACGTTTACAACAACACCAACAGATTCAACAGCAAATGGTACTGGTTTAAAATTCAATG